ATCATAAGCATGCCGCCACTGGGATATGAACCGTCGCATTCTCAATTAAGAAGCAACCGTCTTCCATTAAGCTATCGCTTATCGCTTACTAGCAGGCCCACGGCTCGTTCGTCCTGTCACTTGGTTTCTGACAAAAAAAACTTAAGCTAATTGATAAGCGATTGATATTTGCCAAATTGTAATCGCTGTAAGCATTTTTAAAGTACTAACAACCTCGTTAGACCACATTACTAATATTATTTATATAAACAACAACTTTAGTTCCAAGACTTTTTTACAATGCAATAAATTCACCCAAAAAAGCTTTTAACTTATTGTTATATGATTATTTGAAATTGATATAGGTATTGACTAAACTCTACTACCCTTCATAGGGCAGAGTCCCCTGAGAAGAATGGGCAAGAAACTTTTGGAGTTGCTAACCGAATATTTGTAAACAAACATTTGTTATGCTCGTTGATTGGATACGTATATATTATCAGCACCGGAATAATGGGAAATTCTTGATGTAATTTGAAAGTCTTAACAGTGATACTTGAGAATATAAGAAATATTATGTTAATAGCTTCTAATTATGTATTAATAGTATTTATGCTCATGGAATTGACTTATAATTATATGGACGTCGGGTCCGCGCTAAAAAGTGTCCGAACTTATAGGGCGTTAAAATCGTATACAGAGCGTCATTCACGCTTTAGTCTTCGTTTGTTTGACTGACAGCGAAGCAAGCAAAATTAGACAGTACTGCGATGACATTACATTTTAAAAGCTTTTTCATATTCCTTTACATGTCACTACGTTTAAATAGGTTGACTTGGGACATTTTTCTCGTGGTTTTTGTATTAGACCCGTCGTCCATTTATTTGTAAGTCAATGGCTCATGGACATATTTATATAGAGGTCCTCTAAAAAAAGTTGAATTACAATAACAACGTTCTTAAGCGCCATTGGCCACGTTTAAATCGCAGTCATAAGACAATTTGAAGTAATTCTTTTTTTTAAATTGAACGTACTGGTGGCCAGTGGTTCATACGACAGGTGTATCTTAAAACAGCACACTATTTTGTTATACGTGACGAATAACTAAATACATTATGTTTATTTTCTTCATATGTATATATATGTATATATCTTCAAATTCGTATTAATCTTCTTGCGCTTTCGACAGCTGGCTGAATGGTAATGTATGTCAATTCTACAAATTCAAATTTCAATTGCGAGTTTTCAAAATGGTTTCCATAAAGATATAACGGTTTTCCTCGAAAAAAATCAGCCATAGCGCCCAGTTACACGAGGAGAAAGTTTTCCACGCCTACATGTATATTAATGACGAATCTGAGTTCTATTTATTAGGCAACAACATATAAATTCCTCTGAAGAATTCTATCGCGCGGTCGCCGCGCGGGCCGCCTGACTCCGCTCAACGACCGCGCGATCGTCAGGCAAAGCCAGGCTCGCCCGCGTGTCCGGAACGCTCATTTAAGTTAAAACGTAAAAGCTAAACAAATAAGGCGTATTTTGCCATTACAATTAGACGCATGCGTTCGCTGCGCGGCAGCAACGCGGGCGTATTCCATCACGCAGAGCGCGAGGAAATTCGTGTCGAATAAAGGCGCCCTAAAGGTCTATTTACACATATCCGGGCCGTGCCCGGGACGTGGACGGGCCGTGCTCCGTCAGGGGCTCAACAAAATATCGTTCGCTCCCTGCCCGCGTTTTTCCGCATTAATAATTGATACCTCTGTGCCATAACGAAAGAAAGCGGTAGTGTAAAAAACCAATGCCCCTACCATGAGTTTAATGTGACGGTTGTCTAGCGACCGCGTAAATTACTTCTCAATTTTGTATGGTAATCTCATGGTAGTAGAGGCACTGGTATTACGATACCGATTTCATTTGTTGCGTCCACTAAAATTGTTGTTCATGATGTTGGATTTTACAAATAACCTTGTAAATCAATGTGACAACATTAGTTGTGTTAAAATCGTTGCTTAATTCGTCCATTCGTCTTGATTTCTAAAACATGCACTTTGCAATTGTCACAATGTCACCCACTATAGCTGCGAAGGTAGATTCTTCAATATGAAAGCGTAATGCAAATATCTGTTCCGATCCGAAGGTTGCCTTGAATCCATATAAGGAGTATGATAATGATATCTTGTGCAGCAGTTGAACGCTCTTACATAAGTTTGAGTTAAATAATATCACGTCACCAATGGAGGTAAATTATAATTGAGTCTAGTTAATGTTTAATGTTTAAAATACAGTGAATAGCAACAACTCTAGCTGGTAGCTGTAAAGGTGTCTAACTGGGTGACGAAATATGTTCATAGATTTCTCATAGATGGCGCTACGGCTAAAAAGTCGTTGAAAACCAACTACAAAGATCCGACAAAACAAGCACAGATAAATTCATGAAGCCCGCTGGTTCGTTCCGTGGCTTAGTTGGCATAGAGTAGTTGGCATAAGTGTTCGATCTTTAAAGAAATTATAATGTTTAAAGGAATTACATTAAAAAATGTATCGACTTTCCCTTACGGTAACTCCATACCTTGTCTTTATTCTTATTTATCAATAGATCGACCTTTTTTATAGATCACGGCTTACACATAACAATTTTTTTCTTAAATGTCACATGCGCCATTTCAACTAACGGCGGCAGTGATTAAACTATTTTATATAAAAGACGGACCACAAAAGTTTATGGCATTACATCTAAGAAAGTGGGTGAAATCCAATAAACCGGATTCACCCCCTAATTTGCCGCCCTTAGAGGTGGAATATTTTCATCAAATTTGAATTGGACCACTACTATTTATATTCCAACAAAAAAGAATCACCGAAATCGTTTCATAAAAGTCGGAGTAACCGCGTGACATACAGACAAAAAAATACAACCAATTGAGAACCTCCTCCATTTTTTGAAGTCGTTATAAATGACTATACGATTGGCACTGTGGACTCCAGACAAGGAGGTCCCGGGGTTGTTATACAGTAGAACCAACTTAGCAAACTGTTTTTGTTGTTTTATTTTATTAAATTGGTTCCAATCGAGTTGTGGTAACTGATAACTACCTCGGTGACCGAACGGTTACCATGCTGGACTGCCACGCAGAGGTCCCGGGTTCGATTCGAGAAATATTTGTGGTTGTCTACCTATGTACGTGTCCTGACACCCGCGACACAGGATTTTCCTAGTGCAGAGCTATGTCCATTGATCTCTCATGATATAGGGAATTCCCTAGTTAGAAATCAGGATATTGGTGTGGTTGTCCAGCAAATCAAATGACGAAATGAACGTAAATACAATTTATTATTGGTACAAAGATCTATGATTGGATTCGAACCAGAGTCTGAAGCCATGCCGAAGCCACCGCTTTTCGAACTGAGCTACAGACCCCGATATTTCTTTATTGTAACATCTAACACATTTGTATTGTCTTTATTGAGAACTGATAAAATAGAATTTTTTTTATGCTACCAAATGACGAAACGAACAAGCCTGGTGGTAAACGACACGTTAGTCGATAGCAGTTGCAGTGCCACTCAGAGCTTTAAATCGCGAAGATCTGTGGGGCACTGCCACTGCCCCCATCACCCTGAGACATAAGTTGACAAGTCCCTTGTGCCTGTAATTCTGCTCGCATTGTAAAATGTAAGTAGTTGTCAAAATTATAAATTCCAAGCATTGACTTACAAATAAATGGACGACGGGTCTAATACAAAAACCACGAAAAAATGTCCCAAGTCAACCTATTTAAACGTAGTGACATGTAAAGGAATATGAAAAAGCTAAAACGTTGAATTTAAATTGTAATGTCATCGCAGTCTAATTTTGCTTGCTTCGCTGTCAGTCGAACAAACAAAGACTAAAGCGTGAATGACGCTCTGTATACGACTTTAACGCCCTATAAGTTCGGACACTTTTTAGCGCGGACCCGACGTCCATATAATTGTAAGTCAATGATTCCAAGTCAAAGTTTTATATACAATAAATAGAAAAATAAAAAATGTATCCATAGATATAATTTGTAGATCTTGGTACTTGGTGCAACGAGCTGGTATCCGCAACTCGACGACAAAGCGCCTATTTTGCGTGTATAATTTGTAGATAATAATACGTAGACTATACGAGGTTTAGTATCAGTAGAGCCTTCCATAGGGAAGGCAGAAATAGTTCTGCCGCCAAGCAGTAATGTGAGCATTACTGCGTTCCGGTTTTGAAAGAAGGATGCTGGTGAAATTGAGACACATGGGACTTTCAACTTATGTCTCAGGGTGACAGGCGCAGTGGCAGTGTCCCTTAGATCTCTACGATTTACACTGTGGTCAGGCATGTCGCACACCAAGGGCACATCACAAAAAAAGAGTTATGAAAAGTTAATATGACACTTTAGAACAGTAAAGCTTATTAGCTCTTGCAGATAACATCTCACGGAAAAGGTCACCAACTCTATTTTAAATATATTCTTACCAACATAACATAAAATGCATTGAAAGCGTTTTTTATAAACGAGCTTTTGATATGAAGCATCTCCTTATAAATTCTTATAAGGAGGTGCTTCATTTGTACCTGTATTTTTATCTTGTGCACGAGTCTCATAACTTTCGTCGCGCAACTCAGTCGATCTTTCTTATACATTGTTTCAACACAATGTAAACGATCTCTTAAACAGTAATTGCTATCCGTGAACCTTAAAGAACTTACCGAAGAGCCGCGAACAAAGATACCACATCGTTATGCATTCCTTCTTCTTCGCAAGATCGCATCATTCGTAGTCTTAACAACCGAGTAATGTAAACAGTGCTTTGCAATTCAATTCGTTATTGGGTAAGTTTTTATTTAAGCTCTTTGACGGATCATCAAACGGCCTTGCGTTTCCGGATCCCTCGGGCAATGATTATTACCTGCGCATGAGTTTTTAAAGATCAACCGACCACGCCCTCGCGTGTTTTGATTATAAAAGCTCTTCAATAGATGATGTTGTACTCATTCGACCAGACATCCTCAAATCTAACACTATGTTCAAGGTGACAATTTTTTTTTTGTTGTTAATATGTTAAATGACATGTGATTTAAATAGTGTTCAATTGTGCAATTATTTAACCTGTTTAAAATTAACAGTGCTCTTTTAAAGTTTACTTTAGGTGATAAAGAATTTAGCTTAACACGTTTTTTTTTAAATTTCTTTTTAAAATTTTTAATGTGTTCCTAAATTTTTGATAGTTTAGCACTTGAGATACGGTACTATTTTTTAAACTCGGTTTTTTGTAAACAATACTGAAGTAATAATTTCGTAAATCGGTAAAACATAACTTGAAACATTAGCCTTGTATCAAAATTGTTAGTCAAATTTAGTCGATTACTTAAGTGTTATAAAGTTCCGACAACAGCATGTCAATATTTAATACAAAAAAGATAATTGAAAATGAAACTGTTTTTCGGACCTAAGTCGCGTAATTTTCTGGTAAGATTTCTCTCCATCTGATTTCGGTGTCAATTTCTATAATTTAAATATCGTATAATACTACATGAAGTATCATTTAATATTCGAGTGTAATTAAATATAATTTAATATATCAAAGTAAAAATTGCCACCGAAATCAGATACACAAAATGTACATGTATATTTGTTATTTTGAAATAAACCAAACTTCGTGTGGTCACCACTGATAGTCACTAAAACGAATGTACACGACTTAGGTCCCAAAAAATAGTATCAATTAACAATCGTGTAAATCTAAAAATTAGTCATCCAATAATTGATTGGCACCAACTGAATAAATATAATACAATAATAAATAAACAGTTAAACTTTTATAATTCCCAGTTCATTTGTTACTTACCTTACCTATTTATGCCGCCAAGCAGTAATGTGAGCATTACTGTGTTTCGGTTTTGAAGGGTGCTGGTGAAATTACAGGCACATGGGACTTGTCAATTTACATCTCAGGGTGACGGGCGCAGTGGCAATGCCCCTAAGATCTCTACAATATAAAGCTCTGGGTGGCACTGTAACTGTTATCAACTGGCGTGTAGCTTACCATCAGACGCACGACTTGTTTGTCCCATCACTTGATGTCATAGAAAAAATAAAAAAGTTGTTTCTAGAACCACAGGTTATATAGACGTTGACACTAACAAAACAAATCTGAAAAAACGTTCGATTCCCGGGCCGAGAGAAATATTTATATGGCCTACATTTATTTCTCTCTTGTGAATTTGGGTCTAATCTGTGGTTGTCTATGAGTGTGTCCTTGGCACCCGAGACGCGGGGTTTTCCTAGTGCGGGTCTATGTTGAGTGTGTGCGTTATTATTATAAAAAAAAATGTAATTTCACCCTACCTGGCCAAGGATTAAATATACAAATACTTTGACGGTATATTGCATATGCAGGTAGTCGTTCATTAAAATAATACTCAGTGGTCTAAATTAGGCGTAACATGTTTTTTTTAAATAATATCACATGGGCGTGCATACGGCACTTAATATTCCGTCCTCCTAATCATAACTAACACAATCGACTAGCGAAATTTAGTTATACATTTCTAGCAGCGTAACGAGATCTACAACCCATCCAACCGTTTTATTTATCCCATTTAGTTCAGTTTTTTTGTAAAGCAAAATCAGCGTAAGTAATTGTAATTTTTTTTTAATTGAGAAAGAAAAAAATTTAGGTGCCAATAGAATATTGTAGAAAATTACCACAATGCATGCAAATGTGCTAGTTATGACAAGGAGGGCAAATATATCAATCAATAATTTATTGTGCGATTTTGGTGTTTTTGAATAATAATAATCGTAAAATATATCTAGATTGAAATAATTAACTGCTAACCGATAAATTACAACGTTCATTAATGTATAAAACAGGTTAAAAATACAATCGACAACATCCGTCAAACTCGAAAAGCCTAAACTTCTGATAACTTCACCAACTTGTCTAGTTAAAACTAAAACTCCAGCCATTACTAACTTGATAATTAATTTTTCGCAAGATGTTCCATGTTTTACTATGACAGTTCTTTTAATGCCTTTTAACGAATAAACTAAATTTAGACATTCTATTTTTCTGTTTCTTGGTATATCTACATGACCATAGTCCACTCCTGATCATAAGTAAATCAGTTAAGCTGTAAGAAGAAGACGTTTCAGGTCACATCTCGAAGACTTATGTAACGAACATAATCAAAAATGAGTTTTATGCTAAATATATTTGGTATGTCTATTCCGATATTACTCGTTTCATGGACAAATCGCACCTGTCGAGTGGTAAGGCCACGAAATTGGTCTATAACTTTTATGGGAAAGTTAATAAATTTCACATTATATGTAGTTTTTATTTTTATGACAATAGCGCTTTTGACGTATCACAAGTGGTTTTATTATACCAAGGGATTGAAATAGTTTACAGCAACGATGCGTAGCATTTATCACATTCCAGTATATAAAGACCAAAAAATATGATTATTGACAGTGAAATCCTAACTTTTGTTACTTTGTTTATAGTTTGCCTTGATCCTCGCCTTCGTGGCCGTTGCCCGTGGATCTGTCGTGCCTGTGGCGCAAACAGGTGCTGACTACACAAGCTTCGCGTACGACGTGGCCGATCCCAACACTGGCGACTACAAAAGCCAGGTGGAGACCCGCTCCGGAGGCAACGTCGTCGGTCAATATTCGCTTTTGGACGCTGATGGCACTAAGCGCACTGTCGACTATTCCGCTGATGACGTCAATGGATTCAACGCGGTTGTGCGTAAAGACCCTGCCGTTGTAGCTGCCGCTCCCGCTGTGGTGTCTACCCCCGTTGTTGCCGCTCCTGCTGTGGTTTCCGCTCCCGTTGCTGGCGCTCCTGCGGTTGTTGCTGCTCGCACTTACACCGCTCCTACTGTGTACGCTGCGGCTCCAGCCGTAGCCTCCGCTCCCGTGGTAGCCGCTCGTACTTACGTCGCTCCCTCCGTATATGCCTCCGCTCCCGTCGTTGCCCAAACGTACGCCGCTGCGGCTCCCGTGATTACCAGTACGTACACGGCCGCTGCTCCAGTAGTAGGAGCTCGGTCTTATTCTTCTGTTTACTCTGCTGGCCCAGTCGTGTCTCCCTATTACACCGCGTACTCTAACCCCATTACCCACTGGTAATTCAATAAGATCAAACCACGACTTATTCCAACGGTTTTCTGAGTTATTCAAATGTTATAACGAATTGTACATTTCATTGAAATATATGAAAAATGTAAATGTTTTTATTGTTTTTTTTATATTCCAAACCTCGTCGTTCGTTGATGAAATCTGTTCTAGATCCCAATTTTTCTATTTTAGTACATTGGTACTGATCATTAAGCTGAAAAATTTATGATATTTTTTTAATATTTCTATTGAGTGAAGTTTAAAACGATAGCATAAAACATCCTTTTGCTTGCAAATTTCTAATTTAAGTACATTTATATGGTATGATGGACCCAATACATTAAGGAAATGCTGTAACTGTAATAAAGCACATCTCCACCAAACTAACATTTCACACAGCAAATATAAATCGTAATACATGCAATGTGGCTATACATGTCAAATAAGTAAATATAATTTCTTAGATCGCTACACATTAGAAATGAAAATGCTTTTCAAAAAAAATGTACGCTAATATTAGATCCGAAAGCTCTTCTAGGTAACGAAAAACCTTGAAAATATCGATAACTCTAAACGCGAGACGATTAAATAATTCCTGTTCATATTATTAAGTAGCTTAGCTGTCGTTGTTATAAGACAAAAAACAGATTAGCCTTATTCGGATGCAAGACATGATTTACTTGCTCGGTAACAATGAACCTTACATACCGTTATTAAGAAATTGTGGCAAAGCGGTTACTGTAAATAGTAGAGAGAAGTATCGACATGAATATATCGATAAAAAAGTTAGCTTAAAGATTAGTTGGAAGAAATGGGTTGGTTTGTCTATTTACACTAACATTAAAAATTATTTGTTAAAATTTGTAATTTGTTTGTTTTGTGGTACAATAAGATATATATGATATTTCGTAGTATGGGTAGTTAAAAAAAAGATAATAGTTTTTAATTCCTGACCAAATGACATTGGATACTGAGTTTCAATAAAAAAATCGAGATAGATATTCAAAAGGCAGACACCAATCCAGGAGATTTTGTAGTTATTGTTTCTACAAGAACACATTTTTAGGAAATGAAATTATTTTTCCGAATTTAAATCGCGTATATTTATTTTTTCAAACAAATCGACGTTTCGGGCCCTTTACAGGTCCCATGGTAAAGGGCCCGAAACTTCGGTTTGTTTGAAAAAACAAATACACGCGATTTAAATTCGGAAAAATAATTTCATTTCGTATGTGTAACAATCGCGGAAACCTAAGAACTCGATAAACATATTTTTATTTTAAATATAGTACTTAAGTTTTCGAGTTAATTATTTTTTCTTACACTTTTATGCTGATTGCTCTATAAGCCAACGCTTAATAAATATAATAATACCCGAAAGAAATATTGATTACTATTTCGAAATTCAAAATCGACGAGGTTTGTCTATTATTTCCTAAAACAATATCAATAGGTATATTTCGACGTTTTTACCCAACCCTATTATAAGTATAGGTACTTCTGGGATTATGACTCGATGGTACTTGGTAGCTTTGTATACCGGAAGACTGGTAATGAATATTTTGCTAACATCCTTGAAATGATAAAGCACGGTTACCTCAGTAGTAGTAGGTGAGTAGACGTGATTCATTATAATAACTCTGCTTAATATGCTAGAACTAATTGCCCCAAATTCTTCTCGAAGCAACTTCGGTCTCTTGCATGACATATCCTGAATAATAAAATTACGAAACTGGTAAAGTGACACTTTTGTGAAACTGACAAATTAAATAAAAAATATAGAAAATAAAAGTAATAATCAAATTGAATAGAATTTTGACACATTTGGCACCTGGTACCTATATAGGGTTATTATTTTTTTATTTTGGTCACTTTACTGTTAGTGATGGTGCGATTTAACGGTACGCCTTTAATAGTCTCTTTTATAATATCACATGTAATATAATTACGCTTCATATTTTTAAAGTAAAATTAATAGAAGTAATCAATATGGCAGTATCACTTTTTATTTCAATTTGTAAAATTTAAATAAATACATTATTTACACTGAGTAGAACACCATAGTCGTATCGTACGCGTTTGTCACTTCCGTATTATGTTAATAGATCACCAGCTGGCGATGGGGGCGGCATTTACGCCGTAGGCAAGAGGAGCAGAGTAGGCGAGGCCGGCGGAGTAGACGGAGGGACCGACAACGGTTGGAGCGGCGTAGGAGCGAGCTGCAACAACAGCGGGAGCAGCAGCTATGGCGGGTGCGGCAACGTACGCAGCAGGAGCGGCGTAAGTACGGGCAGCAACCACTGCGGGACCAGCAGCTACGGCGGGCGCGGCAGCGTACACAGCAGGTGCGGCGTAAGTACGAGCTGCAACCACAGCGGGAGCAGCAGCTACGGCGGGCGCGGCAGCATACACAGCAGGTGCGGCGTAAGTACGAGCTGCAACCACAGCGGGAGCAGCAGCTACGGCGGGCGCGGCAGCGTACACAGCAGGTGCGGCGTAAGTGCGGGCAGCAACCACAGCGGGAGCAGCGGCAACAGCTGGAGCAGCAACTACAGCGGGAGCAGCCGCAACGAGAGCTGGATCCTTGCGTACGACCGCATTAAAGCCGTTGATATCATCAGCAGCGTAATCGACAGTACGCTTTGTACCATCAGAGTCCAACAGCGAGTATTGACCGACGACGTTGCCACCAACGCGGGTCTCGCTTTGGCTCTTGTAATCGCCGGTGTAGGGGTCCGCCACACCGTACGTGAAGCTCGTGTAGTCAGCGTCTGCTTTCGCCAGGGCCACGGCTGGCACCACCGACCCGTGGGCCATGGCCATGCAGGCGAGCACTACTACCAACTGCAAAAAAAATTTTATTTTAATAAAAGAATGTTCTTTGTTACAACCCGGATGATGCAATATTTGCGCCCTATGACAAAGGATCGTATAGCGAAACTTATCAAGGACGTCTGGCTTCCTGCTCTGTTAACTAAATTTATTGGCAATACAAAGGAAAAGTAAGATTGAATTTCATTAATGATGAGGCCCTCAACGACGGTCATGGTACTTAATATAGTAGCACTCAAGTACTTGAGACAAAGAAAATTCACGCGTTGATTTCCGTCACATTTCTCTTTAACTAAGCTAATGTATATAGATAAACACACTGAACATATAGGTAGTACATAATCTTATGATCTAATAAATATATTTAGAAAGTACAGCCAAAACCAACCTTAGCTGCCATTGCTGATTGAGAAGAAATCCACTCGTTGAATGAACGCTGATCTCAAACCAGCAACAGTTTATATAGGCCCGAAAGAGTATGCAGGCGGTCACCGGTTGATCTTGAATATGGGTCGGGTAACCATAAGTCTATAGAAGCGTTTAATATTAATATGATTCACTTTAGAAGAATGAGAAAGAAATTTTATACAGCTCATACCTTTTTGTAAAAACGGCTCCAACTGGATGTATAAAAAAATATACAACATCAGTAAATATCTGATCTATTTTTAGATGGTCTACATTGGCATTTGACAACAATGTTGTTTATTATCTCAGGAATAAGGACGTTTGTATGAAAAAAAATATCAACTGTAGGTATAACAGTCACTCCCGGACTAGTATTCACTACCTACCTAATTTTCGTGGCAAATTTATTCATTAAGCATTCGATTTTTTCTCGTGCATATATATATGTATATTGTTTTATATAATAGACACACGCTTGGCCACAATCTCACATGATGTTAAGCGACGATGTGACCGAGGATGGGACGCGTTTGCCTAAAAAATGCCTATTCACTCTTGCCTTGAATAGCCCCAAATTGTAGGTACTTTTCGGGAAATACTGATGCCGCAGTAGAGCATTCTATTCCTTTGCCGTACGCATCAGAAGGGAGCAAGTAAAGCGCTTATTATATATTATTTAATATTAGAGTATTGTATCGTGAAATATTATTTAATAATTACACGATAATATACTCGAATATTTAAATATTAAAAATTGCCACGAAAATTAGGTAGTGAACACTAATCCGAGAGTGACCGATAAATGTCACGTTCAACAATAAAATAACATTATAGGTTTAAAAAAATAACGCACATAATCTCTTTAACGAATATGCCTGACAACTCCACAATTCACCTGGTCTCAAGCTAGGAGATCCCTATTCTATGAGCACCAGAGCAATAAAGTTAACTCCCGGGGTATTACCCAGAACACTCATATCAGAAGCAATTTAGAACAGTACATTTCCCAATCCATTGGACATCCTGATCTAGTGCCGGCAATGCTAACTGCTAGGCCATCGAGGTCGTCATTTGATATGAAAAACAATATGTTTTTTATTTTATTGTTACTTTTCTACTTTAGTCACTTTATTATTAAGGGTACGAAATTACATTCCCGTTGATGAAAATTTCAAGTCTCATCAATGGTACTTATCATTATAAACACCTTTTTAAATGGTACTTTATGAAACATCTGGATAACTTTTACAATTTGAATCTAACGTCAAGTATGTCGGATAAGGAAGCGTAACGTAGGTAGCTGTGGGTAGAGCATTATTGTAAACTTTCTTCCTGATTGTTTAGTATATTATTTAAGGAATGTAGGCCAACATTTAGAATTGACAAAAACTCAAAACCGAGAAAATAATGTAAAAATTAAATTTAAAAAATTATTCCTTTTCTCTTGCGGTAATTTCATACGGATAAGTCCACCTGGAAAAAAAAAATCTATAAAAATAGCCGATCTGTCGATCGACTTTTTTCCTGATCACGGCAATAAACAAAACAATTTTTTTTAAATGTCACATACTCAACTAACACTAGATTCCGGACTTTTGATATTGGCGAACATCCGTTTATTTATGCAATATCTTCAAATCTATATTTTTAAAGTGTAATTAGGAATTGAAGGTTCGAATCTGGGCATACAAATTTAATTTGCAATATAAAGTATTCGATGAAGGAACAAATAACAAACATATCGTGAGGAAACCTCCACACATCTGCAAAACAATTTAATTACGTGAACTATAGTTCAAGTATTGTGAGAGTCGGCCTGTGCGCAACTATGGGACCGTTATTATTTATTAATTAAATAGCAATTACTTTACTGCGGTAATGTATTTAAAACAAAAGTTTTGTAATTGTAAATAAAAATATAACCATATTGTTTTGATTTTTTGTCTTCATTTAAGAGGGAGCGAAAAATTCCTAATCTTCGATTTGATTTTAATGGGGTATATCCACTTTAAAGTTAAAAATAAAATATTGTATGAGTAACTACACGATATATTCAAGCATAGACACTAATCAGAAACATAAAACAATAAAGTTTCCTCGATAGATAAAAATCACGAAATGACCTCTAATTTTCACATTTTTTCGAATTATCCTCGTAATGCTACAGGTTATTAGGACAAAAATTAGATAATTAATTATATTTATGCATGATCGACAACTACGGATTTTTTTTATCCCTTTAGTTTTAGAATTATTCCACTAAAACGAATTTGGTACTTTAATGCGCAAAATTCAACATCTCCTGTCGCATGTCACGCGAACTTCAGGCATATATTTGTTTCACAAATTTGGGCGGAGTCAACGTCAAAACTTTTTTGGCATGAGAGCTCTTAATCATTAGGTTGTATGTTTATTAGGATTGTTTATAAATTCAACAATTTCTCTAAGCACAACATTGAAAATGACCGGTTTATTTGCAACGATTGCGCCTTCTTGCTAAGTTTTGCTGATGCAAGAACTCCGAGATCGTGGTAAGCTACTTTAAAGTACGTTGGGTCCGTTGACGCCTTGAAAATTCTATTGCCCTTTCTATTCTCTATAAAAGATAATGACTACGAATTATATCAGACGTCAATCAAATGAAAAATGAAAGCTTCTTAATATTTTTAAAGACCTTTTAAATTGATCGTCATATCGTATCTATAATATTTTTTTATTAATGTCGCAAAACAGATTTATTTATACGAGGGGCGGCTGGAAATAAATCTCTTTTTCCTGTTTCCAATGTAAAAATAATACCAACCACTATCACGACGTATTTGCCGTTTATTGAAAATTAGAGACACTTTCGTTTGTTACGTTTCGCTTTGCATGACCATTGGACTACATATCGAAAGAAAATAGCAAAATGTTTAAAAAATGAGCAACAATATACAACGATATCCATGTACCAGCTATTGAAGTCTTTACAAATTCTACTTGTCTGCTTAACTGATCTGACTAACAAATCCAAAGTCCAAGTTCAAATTATTTTAGAGCTTATTACCCACTTTTACATTTTACTCATCATCACCTCCATGAGTACAAATAACTAATTCTTTACTCAAGTCGTCGAAAATTAGAAATATAATACCAATAGGCGCCACTCAACCATTCAATCTTTTACGTAATTTCAATCGTACAATTGAGTATTGCTCCTCAAATATGAAAATTACAATTGTAAATTAACATGACAGATTTTTCTAACGAAACTTAACAATAAAATATGGAATATTCTGCACTCCAGTACGCACAGACATTATTATAATCAACTATAGAACTTTACTTTTTATAATAATTCGGTAAAAAACACACGAGTTATTGATTAATAAAATACAAAGATAATTAATATACATGTTTGAAAACAAATCATATTTTTTAATCCACCTCCTATCTAAACAGTAAGAGGTTACTGTTCTTAGCTTCCCATAAAGATGGCTCTAATATCGCCACGCGCGCGAAAATGTATTTCCTGTTTCCCGATTTCAGTTACAATCTTTTACCTAATTTAACTGCCTCTGTGGCCGAACGGTTATCATGCGGGACTACCACGCTCAGGTCCCAGGTTCGCTTCCCAGACCGGGAGTAATATTTGTATAGCCTACATTTATTTTTCTCGTGAGTTTGGGTGTAAATTTGTGGTTGTCTATGTGTGTGTCCATGGCACCCGCAACACAGGGTTTCCCTAGTGCGGGGCTATATTGAATGTGTGCGTTATTATTATTATTATTTTTAAACTAATAATTCCAAATCAGTTAAATATTAATCCATTATAAAATCCATTGCGAACGGACATAATCAATTAGAGAACTTTTTATTATAATTAGGTACAAAACACAGAGTTATTGTAATTTATTATATTTAATTAATTTACACGTTTTTAAACAAATCTTGACATGACTCTTTCTAACAAAATTAAATATATATTTCTTTCCCAAAAAAAGGAGGCATTAAGGGTCGTATTCTAGAACTCTACTCAATGCTCAAGTCTGGAGTATGGTTCAAACCATTAGAAAGCATACTCAAGTCCTTGCCATCAGGGTCGTATTTCCAGTGCTTGAAATATACTCAAGGCTGCTCAAATCCTGACTTGAGCATTGAGTGTATTCCAGAACTCTATTCAATACTCAAGTCAGGACTTGAATATTGCAATGAGCACTGAAAATCATACTCAAGTCCTTGCCATTAGGGTCGTATTTCCAGTGCTTGAAATCATACTCAAGTCTGCTGACTTGAGCATTAAGTAGAGTTCTGGAATTCATAATTAGTGTTTTATTTCATACTTAAGGCGCGTTCCCACTATGTCGTGACGACAGATTGTCGTACAGTTTACAGTGTCGTGACTTGTATATTTGAATGAAGTTGTTCACATACAGCACGACACGATTAACTGTAGTTCACGATTTTTTATCGTCACAGTGGGAACAGCTAGAACGACAGTCGTCAGACGATAAAAAACGTCACGATAAAAACGTGACGACAGATTGTCGCAGCTCCTATTGTCGTCACGTTTTATTTATCGCTGTCCGCACGTATTCTGCTCCCTGCCCTCCCATCTCGTACCCCGCGCCCTCTGCTCGATTTGCAGTAGCATTGGGTCGTAGCCAGAGATGTGTAAGCGCCCGGGTTTTAACTCGGCGCTTTGTAAACGCCGGGGTTTAATCGGGTTAAAACCCGAAATCGAGGGCAATAACTATTTACGTCAGAATGTTTGTTGTGAATTGAGTTTTGTTCAAATTTAATTATACATATTATTACAAAATATTTGTTGCTTTATTATCAGGACAGTTCGATTTACCTTTCTATTGAATATATTCGCTTGAAAAGTTCACCAATAATTGATATAAAAAAAAGTTACATCAAGCACTTGAATCGATCTTCATTGAGAATCCACAGGATTGACAGGTGGTGGGTATTATGCGGAGATGCCTCTTCTACTTGTAATAAAAATATAGAAATTTGTTACAAGTTATTATATATAT